CCAATCTGACTGATCTGGATCTATAAAGTGACATTGAAGCTATAGAGATAAACTGAATAGAATTGAACTCTGCTGATACTGTCCGTTATCTTGATCCACCTGCAGCTCATAGTTTTGGTAGAAATGTTTTGACTCTGGGACCATTCATGGGTCTGAAGCTACAGTTTTTCCATCTTTAATCTGAATATGAGTCACATGATCTATGAAGGATAATCCGGCTCCTCTGGATCCTCCCAGTGGGCAGAAATCCACCGGTCCCAGTTTGTGGAACGCTCAGCCAATCCTAGAACTTCACCTGTTGGCTGATTGGTTTTAACAGTGACGGAGGAGGCGGGGCTAATGGTGTGACATACAGCAGCTCTATTAAATCCAAACAGGAAAACTGAACTGGAAAAACAATCTAGAAGTAAGTAAAAATGTCTTAAATGAAGCGTATTTATTCTTAATCTGAGCAGTAAATGAGATAGTTTGCCGATGGAACGAGGATTTTTACTCTTAAAATAAGATAATTGGATAATATTCACCTGAAATAAGACAATGCAAATGTGTTTTCTTATTTTAAGTGTAAATTGTCTCGTTTCATCGGCAAAATGTCTTTTATCTCCTGAATCCAAGAACAAATTATTTTAAGAAAAAATGACTTATGAAGATTTGGATCTTTTCCAGTCTGTAAATGTTGAAAAAGTTTCGGCCCTAAGAGGATGATCATAGTTAGTTAAACCATAAAGATCAGAATTTAACAAACATTTTAGTGATAAGAATGTTTTCAGGTTTAATGATCCTAAAAATTAGCTTCGTTTTCCTGCCGTTCATCACAGGAACCAGATCAAATAAATTAAAACTTATCAATGAAACAGTTTTATCGTATTTAAAACATTTTAAAATAATCTGAATGAAATAAGGACAGAAAAACACATTTTCAAATTCAACTCATTATTGCAGTTAAACTGGTACAGAGTAACAGATTACAAAGCTCATGGCACAGTCACTGAAAAAGAGAAATGAGGCGTTTATGTACAAGAAGAAAATAATTCAACAGCCAATAGGAGGGGGGGGGCGTAAAAATGAGGATACTATTATTTAGGAGACGAGTTTACAAAGAAAATACAAAACCAAAGGATTTCAAAATGAACATTAATAAAAGCACATGTAGCACAGAGTCAATCCTGGTCTTTGACCTGTAGGTCCAAGTCAGAGCAGCTAAGAGTCAGAGCAGCTCAGAGTCAGAGGAGCTCCGAGTCAGAGGAGCTCCGAGTCAGAGCAGCTCAGAGTCAGAGGAGCTCCGAGTCACAGCAGCTAAGAGTCAGAGGAGCTGAGTCAGAGCAGCTGAGTCAGAGCAGCTAAGAGTCAGAGCAGCTGAGAGTAAGAGCAGCTCCAAGTCAGAGCAGCTCCGAGTCAGAGCAGCTAAGAGTCAGAGCAGCTGAGAGTCAGAGCAGCTCCAAGTCAGAGCAGCTCCGAGTCAGAGCAGCTCCGAGTCAGAGCAGCTGAGAGTCAAAGCAGCTCGAGTCAGAGCAGCTCCGAGTGAGAGCAGCTGAGAGTCAAAGCAGCTGAGTCAGAGCAGCTGAGAGTCAGAGCAGCTAAGAGTCAGAGCAGCTAAGAGTCAAAGCAGCTAAGAGTCAGAGGAGCTCCGAGTCAAAGCAGCTCGAATCAGAGCAGCTCGGAGTCACAGCAGCTCCGAGTCAAAGCAGCTAAGAGTCAGAGCAGCTCCGAGTCAGAGCAGCCCTGAGTCAGAGGAGCTCCGAGTCAGGGCAGCAAACACTGAAAAACTGCGACTAAAAGTGCTGTGCACGCGATCAGATCAGTTTTTGGGGAAGTAGCTGATTCGATTGTTCGCAGATGAGCTGCTGGTTTATCTTAGCAACGCTCCGATCTTTGCCATCATATATTCATCTCCAATTAGGTGCCGACGGTTTTCCATTCATTCCACATTTATGCGCCTTCTTCCAAAAAATAGCGATCCATGGTCGACTGGCAGCCACCAGGGGGCGCCAAGCAGATTTACACTCTTTGGCTACCAACCTTTACGCATTCAGGAAAGATCTGACAATTTGAAAAATATTCAGATACGATTTTCTGGCGAGAATCTAGAGGCCTGATTGAAGAGAAGCTCGTCGAGCTCAAAGACGACGGTTTGATCCGGAACCAAAAACACCGCGGGGACCAAAACTCAACGTTGGCGCCTGGCGAGGAGTCTGAGCTCAATGATGGTGGCGTCTCACAGCTGACCTCCTACCCCCAGAAACCGGCGATGAATATTTACACGCATGATTCAACTAGACATAAAGAAGGATGAATGTTTGGAGCTCTGACTCCTCAAAGATTAGAAACATTAAAAATCCAAATGATTTTCTATTTTTGATCTCAGAACATTTTCAATGTGACACATTTTTAACACACACTGAATTGTACTTTTTCATCTTTTAACAAAAAAAAGGAACAAAACCATACAACATATTTCTAAAACACAAAATAAAAGACCGTCTACATGTAAAAATATAACTTTTACATACACAGTTTCAAAATAATGGTAAAGTTTGCAATTTTTCTTGCATACAATTTACAAAAGTCAGTTGTGGCCTTGGGCATGTGGATGGAGGTCCCGTGTTTTTGTCCTGTGCAGGGAGCCGTAGCTGCTGTCGCTTCAACAACAAACAATACGAACATTTCTAACACTGAGGGGCGTCGCCCGTCTCTGCCAGTTAAAAAAACAAAAACTCCTCCGCTGAATCAAACACTGATAATATCAATAGAAACCAGGAACGGCGCCCTCCTTATATATCCTATATACTTTTGTACATTTCTATATAGACTGATTTATTCAAATAGATTCTTTTCCAGTTTCCAGTCGCAGGGATTCGATTGGTCGACGTCGATCCGCCGACGGAGAACGCCGCTGCTTCCATGGCGATTTCTGTTCTTTAGTTTTACTTTTTTTTACATTTTTTTTTTTTACAGTTTTTCTATCAGACATGGAAACCGAAACAAAAAGCATCAGAAACAAAATGTTTAAAAAAAGGAAAGGGCGAAAGTGGGGAGGAAAAACAAAGTTTTACGACATACAACCACACACTGTACTGAAGACTACATTGGCTCACAGACAAGCCGATCAAATATTGATAAAAGCTATAATACAAGAAGAGACGCGTCGTCCATCTTGGACAGAGAGGAGGGACCAGAACGGGAACCGGGGGGGTTGGGGTTAGGGGGGGGGGCGTCTATCCCAGAACACACCGTCTAATTACATGTTAGCGTACAGTACATTAAATACAGGATACTTTTTTATCCAAAAAATACTTTTTTGTCCTTTTTTTTCTCTTTTTTTAAATTCCCAGGTCTGGTAAAAAACCTGACTGCATAGAACCGAACCTCCAAGCTTGCATCCTATGAAAAGACCGGATCAAAGTCCTCCTCTGTGATATGGACTCTAAGAAAGGCACGTCGGTAGAATCGAGAATGTTCAGATTGCATCTGTGGGAGGGAGGGAGGGATGGGGGGGGTTCTGGTATCAGTCCAAACTGGGACGGGTCGGTCCAACTGGGCTGAAAGGAGGCTTCCAGACTGGGATCTCTGCTTCTCCAAACACAGATTGGTTCCTAACGACCGGGTCAGACGGCGACCTGCTGGGTGTATTACGGACCAAAGAGTGAAAGAACCAAACGGTTCTCATACGGTGAAACACAGAACCATCAGGTTAGTTCTACTGGGCCCAGGAAGCGGCGGCCGTGGCTCCAGTTCGACCGTCTCAGGCTGCGATCCTCGGATCGCCGCTCCTGGAGCGAGAAGCTGAGATCCAGACGGACGTATCCGCCTCAGGAGGCTCAGCTCAGCAATGCTAACCAGGCTCTGTGACCCCCTCCATGTGGAGGAGCAGCAGCTCTACTGCAGGAAGCAGGTGGGCCCCTGTAGGGGGCGGACCCTCACCCTTCCTTCAATCGGTTTAACTCGTGTCGGGACGACAGGTCATATTAGCCCGCCGCTGAGAAGTTCTCACTCTGTTCTGGAACTCCCCGTCTGGAAGCCTCCTTCCTTCGGCGGGTGGGCGGATTCGGATCAGAACCGGGAGGGGGGGGGATCACAGCAGCGTGACACGGGAATGTTTGCCCCTCGGAGTGATGGCAGACCCCTCGCCCCGATGATTGTTCCCTCGCTTCCTCTGCAGTGCCGCCATGGCGAAGGGTTCTCCATCGTCTCCGTGGTTCTGCGGCCCGGTGCGGTTCTGGGCCGACCAGACGTTCAAGCACTTGATTCAAGTAGCGGCTCAAGGAATGTGGTTCCTGTTGTGGTTCAGTCCGGCTCCGACCGTCGATGAATCGCTCGTCTGTCAGCGATGCGTCGTCATAAGCTCCGCCCCCTTTCCTAGCTGCTTCTCTGGTTCTGGTTTCACCTCCATGTCAGAGTTGGTTCTGGTTCAGTTCCTCTCTGACCGTCACTATCCTGTCGGGCCGTTTGGTCGCTAATTTCCAGGTTTCATCAACAAAGACATCAGTTTTCAGGGTGATTGAATCTGCGTGGATTCCAGCTGAAGCAACGATAAAAAGCAAACGCTCCGTCGGCTGCAGCTGGTCGCTTCTTCCCTCAGCAGGAGGTTTTGTTTCTCCAAATCCCCTCAGTGTGCGTTAATCCCAGAGTTCAGGCACCACTTTGTCCACAGTGGGGTGATAAGCTGCGATCAATCACTGCGTTCAAAGGCCGCGTTCGATCGCTGCATTTAAAAGCTGCAAACTAGCTCTGCGTTCAAACGCTGCTTTCGATCGCTGCGATAAAACATTGCGTTCAGTCGCTGCGATCATCCACTGCTTTCGATCACTGTGATAAAACATTGCGTTCAGTCACTGCGATCAAACATTGCGTTCAGTCGCTGCGATCAACCGCTGCTTTCGATCACTGCGATAAAACATTGCGTTCAGTCGCTGCGATCATCCGCTGCTTTCGATCGCTGCGATAAAACATTGCGTTCAGTCACTGCGATCAACCGCTGTGATCAAACATTGCTTTCAGTCGCTGCGATCAAACATTGCGTTCATTCGCTGCTTTTTAAAGCTGCAAACAAACTCTGCGTTCAAAGGCCGCGTTTAATCGCTGCATTTAAAAGCTGCGAACTAGCTGTGTTCAACCGCTGCTTTCGATCGCTGCGATAAAACTGTGTTCAACCGCTGCGATCAAACGCTGCGTTTAGTCGCTGTGTTTGCTCGCTGCGATCAAACGCTGCGTTCAAAGACTGCGTTCGATCGCAGCCTTCATTCGCTCCTTTTAAAAGCTACGAACTAGCTCTGTGTTTAAACGCTGCGTTCGATTGTTGGTTTCGACCGCTGTGATCAAACTGCAATCAAACACCGCGTTCAATCGCTGCGTTTAAAAGCTGCGAACTAGCTCTGCGTTCAACCGCTGCTTTTGATCACTGCGTTTAAACATTGCATTCAGTCGCTGTGTTTGCTCGCTGCGATCAAACGCTGCGTTCAAACTCTGCGTTTAGTCGCTGTGCTCAAAAGCTGCATTTGATTGCTGGGTTTAAACGCTGCAATCAACCGCTGCGTTCAAAGACTGCGTTCGATCGCAGCCTTCATTCGCTCCTTTTAAAAGCTACGAACTAGCTCTGTGTTTAAACGCTGCGTTCGATTGTTGGTTTCGACTGCTGTGATAAAACTGCAATCAAACACCGCGTTCAATCGCTGCGTTTAAAAGCTGCGAACTAGCTCTGCGTTCAACCGCTGCTTTTGATCACTGCGTTTAAACATTGCATTCAGTCGCTGTGTTTGCTCGCTGCGATCAAATGCTGCGTTCAAACTCTGCGTTCAGTCGCTGCGTTCAAAGACGGCGTTTGAAGGCATTCGATCTCTGCGTTCGGTCGCTGCATTTAAACGCAGCGTGTGATATGTTTTGCTCCGTTCTGACCTCCTTAACCCCAACCGTCCTCGCTGCCTGCGTCAAATCCAACTTTTTATACATTTTTTCTTTTCTTAAACACATATAATATATATGTAAATTTACTATATTTATCCATATAGAACCTTTTGTGTTGGGAATGCTGATAAAACATGAAGCGTTTCCAGAGAAGCGAGTCCGCTGCAGTCTGCAGCAGCCGGTCCAACGTCTCCCATCAGAAACATCCAGTTCGCTTCAGCTGAAGATAAAAAGACACCAAAAAGCCACAAAATGCGACTCTGAGTTCCACGTTTTCTGGACCGAAGGAGGAGAGGAAGAGGACGACGATGGCGATGAGGAGAGTCGGAGGCGACGGCGGTTCTGACTTCCACAGGAACTACTTGGTCGGGCTGGAGTGACAGCGACTGTGATTGATTGGCGGGTTTGGGTGGAAAACGCCGTCAGAGGAACTGGTCACTCATCATCCTGATGAACTCCGGCACCTTGGACCTGGAGAACAGATGGAAACCGGGTCAGAGCGGCCATTAAGCCTTCGGCTCGTGACTGCTGGGTCAGCGGGGCAATAAGACGTAAACAGCAGCGTTACGGCGCAGCAATAAAATGAGCAAAGGGTTTGCCGTATCGTAGAACGGTTCTAAATCCAGTGAAGCAACATTTCCACGGCTGTGGCGACGCTCCACGGTCCTGCTGTTATCATCATCTTCATCATCCTCATCATCATCATCACCATCATCATCACAAACAGAAACACTTTCTTCAACATTTCTGAACCATACAAAGGTTAATTACAAAGATAATACATTTTTCATCCCAGTTTAGTTTTGTTAAAACATTTTTACTGATAAAATAATCTTAAATTTAATTCAGGTTCAATTTAACATTTCAAATTGGTCCAAAGTTTTTCTATCAAAGGAAAACAGGGTTATGTGTTTAGCTGGAAATAAAATAAATTAACGGCATCTTCAGCTTTTGGCCTCTAGGTTTACGTGTGGATTTAATAATTACTCGTTTAAAAAAGTTAAAATTTCCACATTTAGAAACTGGTTCTAATATTACTGGAAGAAAAGAAAATGTTTCAAGAATTCAAGAGTAAATGATTATGTGTTCCACTTTTAGTTTCATTCTTTTTTAGATTTTATTTAGCTATTTATTTTTTTTTACTTTGGGAGATAATTTTATGAATTTCTTTCCTTTGCAGATTTCACCGTCTGCTTTCTGTATGGGAATCATAGAAATGCTAATATAGACGGTGAAATCTGTAAAATTGGATTTTAAAGGAAAGCCGTAATTAACACTAAATCTCCTAAATTAAAGGAACGTGGTTATTTTTGGTCATGTGACCTTCCTTCCATCCCGAACACAGAGGATGGTTTCTGGAAGCTGATTGGTTGTCGGCCTGATCTGAGTCAAACGTACGACAGCAGCAGGTTAGTGCAGAAGTGAAATCTTCTGACCATTCAGGGGGGAGGAGAGTTTGCTGCGGTTTACATTTGTCCCATGGGGTTTGGTCCATCGCCCATGGCGGCGGCGTGGTGGGCGGCAGCCAGCGAGAGGGGGGTCCCATCTGATGTGACCTTCTCCTCTTCGCGGCGCTTCAGGCAGGCTGCCTTGGGGTTCAGGTTCCTCTCTGCAAAGAAAGAAAGCAGAACAATCAAGAGGAGATCTGCTGCCCCCTGCTGGAGCTCAACCAGAGTCCAGTTTGACAAAAACATCAAAGAAAATATTTTATCAATTTAAAGTTTTTTTATATATTTTTAGCTGAAGTTTTATGCTGTTTTTGCTGCTGACATTCAGGCCTTTCTAACTCATCTATCCAGAGTCTATGGATGTAAAATCATGATGACTCAACAGGACTACCAGACGGTGAACAGGCTGACTGGAGGCTGACCTCGGACTTGCTGCTCCAGGCTGAGGATGACGGCGACCGCCTGGTGCAGGATCAGTAACTTGGTCTGCGGCTTGTCGCTCTTCAGATGCAGCTGCACCATCCTGCCCAGTTCCTTGAACGCCTCGTTGATGTCGCGGACGCGCAGCCGCTCCCGAGCGTTGTTGGCCATCCGCCGCTCTCGCTCCCTCTCCATCTTCTGCTCGGGGCTCAGGTCCTCGTCGTCGTTGTTGCTGAGGTGATAAGCCAGGAGGAAGATGAGGATGATGGGAGGAGCCAAGACGTTTCAAAGGAAGAGGGTTTAGTTTATCACACAGAGGTTTAGGAGTTAAGTTAACATTTTATGCAAACTAAAGGAAATAAAAAAGGACCGTTTGTCGCTGAGATCAAACTACACCTCCCAGCATTCACTGCAGCGCTGAGGTCACACAGGGAGCTAACACATCAGCGCATTGGAGAGCCAGACGCTGAAAAGATTCATCAACCTTTCCATCCATCAGATCTTAATCCCAGATTATAGAATCTGAGCATAGATTCTACATGGTGATGAAGACGACATCTTTTCCTCCTCTGCAAAACGTTTAGTTTCTAACAGCCGCTAACAGCCGTTTCCATGAAGCCAAATGAAAGAGAGAACAAGTCCTAATCTGATTGGCCTGGATTAAATTGGTGTAGATTAGCAATCCAGGATGTTATGGAGTTATTTTTGAACTGCTGCCTTCTGCCTGCTTATAAGGGCAGTTATCGAAAGCGATACTCAGTTCAATACTCTCGAAAAGTATCGATACTCTGGAAAAGTATCGATACTCCAGGAAAGTATCGATACTCTTGAAAAGTATCGATACTCTGGAAAAGCATCGATACTCTGGAAATGTATCGGTACTCTGGAAAAGTATCGGTACTCTGGAAACGTATTGATACTCTGAAAAGTATCGATACTCCAGGAAAGTATCGATACTCTTGAAAAGTATCGATACTCTGGAAAAGTATCGATACTCTGGAAATGTATCGGCACTCTGGAAAAGTATCGGTACTCTGGAAAAGTATTGATACTCTGCAAAAGTATCGGTACTCTGGAAAAGTAGCGATACTCTGAAAAGTATCGATACTCTGGAAAAGTAGCGATACTCTGAAAAGTATCGATACTCTGGAAAAGTATCGATACTCTGGAAAAGTAGCAATACTCTGAGAAAGTATCGATACTCTGGAAAGTATCGGTGCTCTGGAAAAGTAGCAATACTCTGGGAAAGTATCGATACTCTGGAAAGTATCGGTGCTCTGGAAAAGTATTGATACTCTGGAAAAGTAGCGATACTATGCAAAGTATCAATACTTTTCAGAGTATCGATACTTTTCCAGAGCAAGAGTAAACATTCTGGGAAACCAAATCTTGTTCCTTAGCCTAATGTAGCATTTTAGCTAATGCTAATTATCGGTGGCTCCTGTAGCCTCTGACTCTGAACCATTTTACTATAAAATAAATATGTATATCTGGCAATAAGCTAAAATAAATGATAATTAAATCTATGAATAAATAAATATATCTTAAAATACAAAATCATCAGTGTTCACCCTTTTTCTAAACTCTGGGGGGAAAAAAAGCTTAGAAGAGACATTTTTCACCATTAAAACATCATCATCATCATCGTCATGGTAAACATGGCCGCCACCAACAAGGCCAAACTGTGGGGTTCAGGATCCGAATGTTCCAGATTATCCTCCTGGGAAACAGAGGAGGAGGGAAGCCGTTCCGACGGCATCCAGGGTGGGAAGAAGGTTTCCATCATCATCATCATCATCATCATGATGAAGGACTGAGGAAGCCGAGCCGCTGCAGAAACAGGTTGGGATCGTACTGCTGCTGGTTTCCCACCCTGGGCGCAGTGAGGTGGAGCTTCGTTGACCATATTGACGGAGGGCTCTACTCTGCTGCGTGAGAAGCAGCTGAATCCAGGCTCAAGACCTGGAGAGACACGCAGGAGCAACCAGGAGCTGCTCCACCTGCAGCCTCCACCCTTCCTCAGCCCCGCCGCCCTGGCTCCAAGAGGTCCTCCAGAAGGGGCGGGGCTAGGAAAGAGAAGGAGGCGCCTGGTGGAGGCCAGAAGTCTGAAGTATTCAGCTGCTTCTCATCACACTGATCACTTCATCAAAGTTCAGAGGCTGGTTCCTCAAACGCTCCCAGCTCACCGTCCCGCTCGGCGTCCAAAGGGACGCGCAGGACGCAGCCTGGGGGGGTGTGGGGAAGACGTCCAGCTGAGGGTTTTGATGGAAGCGAACGTCTGGGAGGTGGACGGGTTACCTAGATCTTGACCTCTCTATAGCCTTGAGCTCCTTGTCCAAGTCCTCCTTCTTGGAGTCCAGGGGTTTGCTGTCCTGCAGGAGGTTCTCGTCTCCCTCGTCCTCAGACTTGATCTCTGAGCTGACTGAGGACGCGCTCTGGCCCTGAAGACCGCCAGACAGAGCTGCAGGAGGACAGAGGACACCAGCGGTTAGACATCATCTGACCTTTACCAGGAAAACCAGGAAGATCCGGAAGGTTCCACAGGATTACTGAGGAATAAGCTGGATGAAGAAAAGGAGGTCAGGGACGACGACACATGACATCATCATAATATAATAGCAAATCAGCTCTGCGATCATTTGCTGCACGCTGACGCTCTTCCTCCTCTTCCTCCTCTTCCTCAGTCCAGACCTTCTCCTTTAGGTCTTAATGCTCAAAGTTCCACTAATTTATTCACCAAACGGTTTTTATTATTTATTCTGACTGCTTTCCAGCACAGAGTTCAGTTCATTTTTACTCTCTATCCCTCCATCGATGCGGCTCGCCAGCAGGATCCCCCTTTTGTTTATGTTTGGGGTTACCATGGCGACAGCCTAAAAACAAACAAAACGTCTATCTGACAGGATGCCTGAACGGACATCATACGACTAAAAACCAAACCCAGCGTAATAGAAAGCGGCGTTCACCATGGCGACGGGGGCGGGTGGATGCTCAGGGCCCGACAGGAAAAGGATTAGACTGGACTTTCAAAGTAAAACCCACTGAAAAGATTAAGCTGAAGAAAGAAAAAAAAATGGAATTTCATTATGTTTTCAAAATAAGAGACTAGATTTTCTAGATGCTGGATTATTGCATCTAATCTCCTGATGGTATAGAACCAAAAGTCTAAAAGGGATTATTTTGGACTTTCACAGTAAAACTAATTCGTTCTCAGGCTTATGTCCTAAATCAGTTTTAAAAGGAGGCCTAAGTTAGATTTTTAAAGTAAAAGCCTCAATATTTCACTTTTGCCTGGTGCTTCCTTATCCTACGGCGTCCCACAGGGCTCAGTTTTAGGGCCCCTGCCTCTGGGTTCCATACTGAGAAGACGTGGGATTGATTTCCATTTTTATGCTGATGACCAAATTCTATTTGGCCCTAAAACAGGGAGACGGTCTTTATTGAACTGTTTAGACATTAAAGCCTGGAGGGTCCTGAACTTTTTACATTTTAACAAGAAGTAAACTGAGGTCAGAGTGTTTGGACCTCATGACTCCACTGCTATAGACCAAGGACCCCTGATACCATATTCTAAATCAAGCGTTCTAAACCAGATGCTGATTTTAAATGGGAGAAGCTAATTGGAGCGGTTATCATATCATATTTTAATCAAGACGACTGGCACACCTCAGGGTAGCTTAGAAAGTTTTTGGTCTTTGGGAGGAAACAGGATCATCCAGAGAGGTTAGAGCACAAACTGAAAGTAAAGGAGTCAAACCCACAACCTGGTTACTGCAAAGCGGCGCCATGAAGACTTAAACCACTGATGGAAAAACACGCCGGACTTTCAAAATAAAGCTTAGAATCAAAGTCTTACTTTTAGCTTCTCATAACCAGCGTGTTTCAAAGTGTTCTCACCTAACAAAAAGAATGTGTTGGACCTTCAAAATAAAGTTGACCAATGGTTAAACATGAAAGCCTTCCAAATTAAAAGTTGAGGTTATTGATGATTTGAACCAACAGATGTTTTAAAGTAATGAGGTGAATGTTTCATGCCCCCTGGTGGAGAATCCAGATCGATGTCCTATTTTATTCTGACGGGTCAGCACTGACTGATGCTGGGTGAGGATCTCATGTTGGGGGGTGGGGGGTGGGGTGTGGGTGACAGATCTTACCGCGGTAGGGGTCGGGCTGGCTGAGGTCCGGCGAGGTGGCCGACTGAACCGGCAGCTGAGGCACCGACACCTGACCCGCCATGGAGTGACCTCCTCGCAAACTGCCGCCATCTTCTCTGTGGGAGCCCACCTGGAAAACAAAGGAGACCCAACCATCAGAGCTGTCAGCAGGGGGCGCTGTGGTGAAACCTGCCGGCAGCATCCAAGTGAAAAAATAAGATTTCTGAGCCCAGAACTGATCCATGACGCCTCCATTTAGCCCACATCCACTAACTGCTGGGATTAAATTACGGAAAATTAACAGAAAAATTCATCTTTAAACTTAATGAACCTAAAATCAGATTTAAGCTGAGCTTAAGATGACCTGCAGCTCCCTAGAAACTGATCAGGCTTAAATCAGGATTCAAATTAAACTGCGACCTAATCTTATATAAACCACAGTTTGAAACCAGTTTATTGAGAACAAGTCAGATTAAATTACGCCGATAATTGGATTTATAAAGAATTCATTTTTTTCTAATGGATACAGAGAAAATATTTGGTTAATAATTGGACTTTATATCTAGAGAAAAAATGAATGTTTGAACGTTTAATTGAATATCTAACAGTCATTTGCTAAATTAACAATTATCAAATGTGATTATTAATAATCTAATCTGGTGAGTAATACTAACTGGGATTAAAGTGGCTGCATTTGGTCACAATTAGTTTGTTTTCATTTTTTTTATAGATTTGTTGATTCCAATTAAATTTAACTAAATGAAATTAAAGAGTGAGCAAAAAATGTAGCTGGATTTAATTTGGAATAATCTGGATTATATTGGGATTAATTTAAATTAGAGAGAAACTAACGATCCAGATTAAACTGAGATGCAGGATTATAATCCTATCTAACCTGAGAGTTTAATGGTAAATAAATTAAATCTCATTTATAAATATCTTTGATTGAGCTGATCAGCAGCTCTTTGCAGTAAAACTGGGATTGGTTGGATTAGATTATAGTAGAATTATCGTACATAAAGAACTTTATTGTTCTGTAAATTATTGTGAATATTTCTTCACAATAATTAAATAAAGTTGGGCTACAGTGGATAAAATCTAATATTTTGGACTGTATTTAATTAGAACCGAATGGATCCAATTCAGATTCATTTAGATTTATCAAGGGAAGAAATCCTGGATTAAACGGGATTAAATTGGCCTTCAGTTTCAAATGAATCCCGGTGTTTAAACAGGAGGAAACAAAGCCGATGCGAATGAAAATAATCCTGAAAGTCGGACAACCATCTGCTTTATTGGCAGATGCTTCACTTTATTCTGAATAAATTCACATTCAATCATTTTTATGTTATCTTTATTTTTAATCTCCATTTTTAAAAGTGTTTTTCATTGAAATAAAAGTATAATTCTCTGTAGTTGTGTAAATATTAATAATCTGTATGAAAATTCTTTTTATTCTGTTTCTAGGTTTTCTGCCTGCAGAGCTGCTGCGGTTCCATCTTTAGCCAGCAGAGGGCACCGTCCCTCCTCCTAATGAAAGAAGTTTCTGATGAGAGTTTGCGGCTCCCCTGGACTCTCCTTCCTCCTCCTCCTCCTCTTCCTCACGTCCGTCAGCGTCTGTCACTTTTAGTCCGAATGTAAATCCAGACGTCAGAGATGAGCTTTTCCTTCAGCTCTGGAGGTCTGACCATCTTTTGTTTTGCCGTTTCCTGGGTGAGCGTAGTTTGCTGGATCCCGTCCATCTGTCTGCCACACACAAACACGCCGCAGCACAACTGACAATTATCTGAATGCCCATATGTTTAATTGTGGGATTTCTAATTCCCAAAGCTCGGAGCAGCTTCCAGCGGGGACTCGCTGTTTTGGCACAGGATGTGATTGGGAAGCGCTTCAAAATGGCCGCTCCCTGGTTTCCCTGGGCTTTGTTCTAATATGAGCGGCTGGGCTGACGGATCTGAGCCCGGAGAGACGAGGACGCAGCAGGGAGCATCAAGAGGAGCCTGTTGAAGGAGTCCAGACTTGGACTAGGCCGCTTCCTAACCTTGAACTGCTGCTCAGATCTGGACCATCTCTGCTCCACCGTCTTTGCTTTTCTCTCACTGATTGTTTCAGGTTTCTCAGCTTACTTCCTGCTGCCAGACGGGTTCTGTGCAGCTGATTTAATGATACTATGGATTATCCTGTAATCCAGTCTGGTTGATCTCAGTTAGTCTTTAGTGTTTTAACGAGGGTGTGATTACTTTTCCACATGGTTGGGTTTAGAGGTTTATTTACCTTCAGTGGATAAAACTTCTAAACTGCTTTTCTAATTTTTCACCTTTTCTTTGATTGGGATTAAACCATTTTTATTGAACTTTAGATTTAATCTGGATTATTTTGCAGTTGAGGTGAAACAAACGGATCCGAGGCGGTTTGGACCTTCAGGTCTCTGAACGTCTGAGGTTCTGTTTGGACTCGGACTCTCCTTCCTAAACCTCTGAGTCCGATTCAGCTTCACTGGTTTCCATTAAATCAAAACTCCAGATTTTAATCCGATTTTACTGAAATTCATGAGAAGAAGTTTTAATTAGATTTCAGACACAGAGAAATAAAAGAAATCTAATTTAAATTCTACCCAGTTAATTTTAACACTTTAAGAGTTAAATTTAACACCAATCTGAGTGCATTTGGTCTCAATCTGAATTAACTCTCTACATAGTGTTTATCTAGATCCAGTTGTTGTTATAATAACTCTAACAGAGTCGATGTACTTTGACATATTTAACAATATGGAATTTAACTTAATTTAAAACAGTAAAATTAATAGAATTGTCTCTATGTCTCCTGCTGAGTTTTTATTTGAATTAAATTGGTTAAAAATGTATAAATGACTAATCTTCATATGAGCTGATATCAGTTTGGTTCTGTTTTCAGATGCTCCGCCCACCTGGGTGTTAGACGCGCCATAGAGAAAACAAAGTGATTCCAGGCAGGAATCCCAGCCTGCCGGTTAATCCCGCCGGCTGATGCCAAACTCTCGTCTCGCTTCCTGCAAATATCACTGAATGTCGGCGCAGCTTTAAAGCGGCCGGTTCGTCTCCTCCTCCTCCCATCCTCGGCCTTTCATCGCCGCCCGGATTCCAAAATGCAAAATGGCAGCAGGCGGACAGACAGGGCGCTCTGCTGTTATGAACAAGCCGTTAAGTTCAACCAGGAAAAGATGTTTTACGGAGCGCCAGGAACGCCGCTAATCATTCTAATCATTCTCATTCATTAATAACTGAATTTACACACAGTTCTAATTATTTAACAAATTAAATGTCGTCATGTTCATAAAAAGGTTTTCTTCACAGTCAAAGAAATAAGATTTTTTCCTGTTTTCCAGGAAGAAAAAGTTTCTTCTTGTTTTTTAATCGAGGGTTTCTTTAAATGAAGGAACGATAAACAGATTTAAGATCATTAAAAGTGACGATAATAAAGAATTAAGGAATATTAAAGTTATTATAGGTCCCAAAAAAACGGACAGAAAAAATATTTTGTTCAATGAAACAAATAAAAACTGTAATTAAAAAGCAAAAACTAAAACTGATTCTGTATCATCTGTTTATCAAACTAACTAAAAGTAAAATTATAAATAAATGATTTATAAATGATTAATAAACCGATGGGAAACAGATCCGATCTTTAAACCTTTTCTCTCGTCTTCAGTTTTTATCGCTTTAATGTGCGATTTAATTAACAGATTCCTGAAGCCTTTTTGAATCTGTCGTCTGAAAATTAACGAATAAAAATCTAAAATGAATTCAAGACTTATGAAGACTTTGTTATTATTAAAACCTTTTTTCCTCACTTATCGTGAAATTTTTTTTTTTTTTATTTAGTCTTCACCAGCAGAACATTTGGTACATTTTTAATAACTGCACATTTTTTATGTTAAAACCTTAATCTGCAGTATTTTATTATTGTTTTTATATGCTTTAAAATTGCATTTTTGTGCAAATCATCTAACGTTTAATAATTTAAATCATTTTGCTGCTGTTGTTAATCCCAATATTTCCAACTTATTGAGCATTAAAATAATTTTCTATTCTAGAAACGGGCTGGGCGATTCATTGCATTTGCAACATACCGTATTTTCTGGACTATAGAGTGAGCCTCACTTTAAGCCACGCCCACTACATTAAAAAAAAAGGAAACACATATATATATATATATATATAAAAGCCACACCGGGCTATAAGTTGCTGATATCTACTGAAATGTCTTCCACCAACCTGTAGGGGGAGCTCTACATATAGCCCCTGGAGTAGTGAGGAAGAAAAATGCTAGCTACTGTTAGCTTGTTAGCTCGCAGCAGTAAGAGCTTCTAATGAAAGATGGAGCTTCATCAGCTCTTTATTTCAGCTCTGCAGGAGTTCAGCTCAGTCTCTTCATTGTTTCAGCAGCTTTAATGCAGCAATTAAATGTCAAAACATGTAAATTGTTCTATATCTAACCTGCTGCTAGCATGTTGTTGTGCTAAATTAAAATTAGCATCTTATTTTTTTATTTCCAACTTTGACCTCTGGCTGTTAGGAAAAATCCACAGAAAAGCTGCATGGTTCAAAGCGTGGCAAAAAAAATAGTGGCTTATAGTCCGGAAAATACGGTAATTGCAATTTAGAAAAATCTGTTCGGAATCCGTCTATGGTTCGTTCTTTGTTTTTTTCGTTTCAAAACAAAGCGAAAAAAAAAAACAAGCATGTGGTTTTTCTGTTTTTCCGTTTTTAAAACCTAAATCGAAAAAATGAAAAATCGAATAAATAGAAAAACAACAGCGTTTGAGTTTTGTTTTGCCACCTAAATGAAAATTTTTGAAAACTTCGGTATTCATACTTTTCCTGCTTTGTGTGTCAACTTTCATGGTTGCTAAGCAACAGAGCATACGGCGGTAAAACCCGCCGAAGGGTGGACCTGTTCGAGTTTACAGCCAGAACTCTTCCGGTCTCCTTATTTTCAAGGACTTCCAAGGATCCAGTCCAGGTACATAGACCGCGTCCTTGGAGGATCCAGTCTAGGTTTTCGAACAGAGCCAAATGTTTCCATTTTGGTAGTTCTAACTGAAAAAGTTCTTCTTCTTGTGGATTGTAATGGCGGTTAGCAAGAAATTGA